TTTTTTAATTTCATAACCACACCCTAAAAGAGAGAATTAGTACACTGGTAAGAGGGGAAAAAAGGAAGATACTTTTAAGAAATAAAAGCAAACACTATCACATGTATTTAATATCATCATCCACCAAAGAGACTATAAGGTTTAATCAACATGTTCAACTACTTACCCCAAATGCATTTATTATTACCCATGTTAAACCAACATGTTCAATTTTTTTTTTTTTTTTNAGGTTAGGAAAAAAAAAAGCTACCAAGGAAAAACTGAAGGCTAAATAGTGTGAATTACCTAAGTAAGCTGCAGCATTGTCAGTGCTTTTAACAATTTGATAATGTTGTGTAGCTCTGTACTGTGTTGTGCATGTGGTGTATGTGTGGCTATTGAAGAATGAATAGATCTTTCTAGGCTTAAATAGAGTAGCAAGATGTTGGTGCAACGTTCTCATAATTGTCAAACAAAATACCTTAAAAGAATTGAACAAAAAATGCAAGGGAAAATAGAAATTGTGATTGCATTGTAGCAAAATAAAGAGGTAAAATTATATTTCAGGTCTAGACATATTACGAAAACCCGATGGGATCTTAATGTCCTGAGAATATGCAGACAGAGCTAAACATATCTTCAAAGGTTCAGAAAATTAAAATAAGTTCAACACAAACATTTTATCACAATTGAGCAAATCCTAATGAACAAAATGGGTGACGGGTATCTTTGTTTGGTGCAACAAGTTAATTGCAATGAGCATAACAACCACGTTAAAGTAGCTTAAAGTGAGGCAAAATCCAAACACAAAACAAATATAGATTGAACTCATCAAAAGAAAGTGTTAACAAATTTTTACACTCCACCCAAATTCTTTGACTCCTAAAATATGCATTTCTATTAGTTGAACAAATTCAAATGCTTTAATTTTTTGAATGTAGGAACTATGTTAATGTAGATATTGCATTCAATGAAATCAAAGACCATGGCACAGGCCTTAAGGACGCAAAAGAAAATCTGCAACATTGATGAGGATAACCAAACATTCATCAACTCCGTAAAACATAACTCTGTAATGAAACTTTTTTTGCAGTCTACCTTCCTTTTACCTCGTTCATCCTAGAGTCGAAGCTATGACATCCAAAAAATTTAAAACTTTTGGTAATGTTCCCTCTTATAACAAAACCCCCAAAACATTTAAACCTGCATACGCATTTTTTTAATTTCATAACCACACCCTAAAAGAGAGAATTAGTACACTGGTAAGAGGGGAAAAAAGGAAGATACTTTTAAGAAATAAAAGCAAACACTATCACATGTATTTAATATCATCATCCACCAAAGAGACTATAAGGTTTAATCAACATGTTCAACTACTTACCCCAAATGCATTTATTATTACCCATGTTAAACCAACATGTTCAATTTTTTTTTTTTTTTTTTTTTCTTTCTCATTCCACTACCAAATGCATTTATTAGGCAATCAAAACCGTATTGAAAAAACCCCAAAAACTTACAATATGAATAATGACCATAAAGCAACCAAGAATTGCAATAAAATTCATAGAGACCAAACCCAAAATTTCTCTCTGTCAATATACACAAATCGCATTAAAATTTTCATTCTAACAGTTATCGTGACGGCTCCTGAAATTTCCCCACCATAAGCCCTTCATGCACAGATTTCCCCTTCGTATACTTCTGGCTTTTTTCATGGTAACATCCACATAAATAACAGGCACAAATGTGAAAATTTTATGAAAAATAATAAAATTTTAAACTCAGTCTCTTAATCTTGCTAATTCACATCCAACAATTGAGCTTCACCAACGCAGAAAATGTCAATAGCAGAATAGTTGACATTTGACCCAATATCGGAATGAACAGTCCACAGAAAATCCACATGCATTCTCTAACATAACAAATAACAAAAAAGCGAAGTAGCAATAAATCAAATAAGGATGAAAAATTCAGTAAATATAAACAAAAGAAGAAATCAAAGCACTAAGAAAATAAAAGCCCAACACTGCTGATGATGCCATTATATCGATTCCACTGGAACTTCACTATAGCCTCTCATGGCGTGGGCGTGTGCATGTGTGTGTTTTGTGTTGCAAAGAAGGGAAAAAGAAGAGAAGAGGGGGAGAGGAATGCCGTATGGAAGAGCAAATGAAGTTGAATCAAACAAAACCCATAAAAGAGGAACATAAATTCAACCAGTCAATGCAATATTTCACACTGGCATTTCAATAAACACTTCTTATGCATGATGATTAACAACAAATCAACACAAAATTCACCAAGCATCTCTTGCTAGAGTGTCGAAGAGAAGGTGAGGAGAGAGTGTGTGACTGTGTGTGCGATTGTGAGTGGGTGACTTTTAGTGTATAGTGCATGGATGTGTGTTTGTGCAGAGATGAAGGCGGAGAGTGAGAAAGAAAGGGAGTTAGAGAGCGGAGAGACGAAGAGGGGGATGTCGTGCTCTGTGGCGTGTGCTGTTTGTATTTTGTGCATTTGTGCAGTGAGAGAGATAAAGATTGTGAGAAATTGCCGAAGATTTGAGGGTGAGGGGTGTCTTTGTGTGAAGCAGAGGGTGGGGAAGAGAGAGGAGCGGAGGGGAGGATAATACCTGGGTGGTGGCGCTGTGGCTCTTCATGCGTCTATGGCGAGTGAGAGAGAGAGAACATTGAGAGGGAGTGAAGGAGAGACTGTGATTTTTTCTCAATCAAGAATGCTTCAACTAGATAAATTCACTTATCTCACACAATTCTTCTGGTCATGCCTTTTCCTCTTGACTTTCTATATTCCCATATGCAATGATGGAGATGGAGTACGTAGGATCAACAGAATTCTAAAACAAAAGGAATTTTGCACTCTACTATACGGTATGGATGAGATAGTTTTGGGGGGAAAATGTTTAAGGGATAAAATTCAAGATGTAAGTTGATTTATTATATAGATCCATATATTTTATTTATTATTGGATATGTTTAGTGTGTATTTGATACGTATCCTAGAGTAATTAACAAGTATCATATCTGATAGGGATACATCGACCTTAACGAAATATTTGTATTTCATAGATCATAACCCTTGTCTAGTTAAAGTATGCTGTTAGAGCCGAATTTAGTCAAAACATGCCAATTCAAGCTTCTTGTTTTATTAAAGAAAAGTTTTAGATTATAGCTGAGCATCCTTAATTTTTTCCATTATAATCTGCAAAAGTGTTTTTCTTTAGAGGTGGTGGAAGAGGATGAAATCCTGGTGTGACTGTTCATAGAGTATCAAGGCCAGGTGTATGTGGTTTGATTGTTATTTCTTTTCATTTCTTTAATTTGTTTTTTCCAATTCCAAAATATTCTATCAGAAAAGCATGAAACGAGCCCTTAAAGGATCCCAGGAGGCTACCAAAATTAAAGCCAAATTTTAAATGATGGCTGAGCATCCGTAAATTTCACATTACAAGTTGCTAATGTGTCTTCCTTTTAGGAGGGGGAAGAGAATGAAATCCTTTTGTGCAAGGCCAGACATATGTGCTTTGACTTTTCTATCGTTTCATTGTGATTATTTTGTTTTTCTACATTTTAAGTATTCTATTTTTATCGATTAGGCATAAAACAAGCCCTTAAAGGATCTCAGGCTGATAAATATAATGCTGCACATTAGATGAAGAGACATCCTAGTGACAATTGATTGTCTGCTGGGAGAAAACTCGGGGTCAGGGGTCACATCCCAGTCACCTGAGAAGTTATAAGTTGAAGTTGTAAAAATAAGGATTTATGAACTATTGGTCCCCAAAGTATGCCTTCTTTGTCAATTAGGTACCTGATGTTTCAATTTGGTAATTTAGTCCCTAATGTTTTCAATTTGTGTTTCATTGGTCCAATCGCTAACTTCCGTTGGAAATAACAACATTGCAACATATCTGAATACCATCAGCCTAAATGAGGGAAATAGCGAAAAACCCTTTCTCAGACACTGCTAGGGCTTCTACGATGGCTGGTTTTCTCCTTTGAAGGCAATGAGGAGCTAGAATTCTATAGGGACACCTTATTTGAAACTTGAGTTCCCCATTCCAATCAGCAATGCGATATGCTGCATCAGCATTCAACTTCTCAAGCTTCTTCATAATTTTAGGGCATATATCACCAGTGTATTTCTTCAATCATTCCCTCCTCATAAGCATCATTTTCTTGATGTAGTCTCTTTGTCTCTCCAACATCTCCAAGATAGGCTTATCTCTTGCATGTAGGATTGCTGCATTGAATCCCCCACAATTATTATCCGGGAGCATGTCACACTTTGGTAAGGTCCTGAAGTGAGACCTGCTCCAATGTCCTGGCGACTCTTGAGCAACCCACTTGAAGCCTCCTTCATCCTCTGCGTTAAGTTTCTCCATCTCATATATGAAACTCTGAACGGTTGAGGCCTTTGCACATTGCCATAATCTGTCTCTAAAGGCTAAACCCTTGAAGTTTTTGTTAAAATAGTTGTAAAAATGTTGCACACAATGTTTGTGCTCTGCCTCTGGCAACAATTCATAGATTGCAGGAAATAAACCCTATTGTCAAAAAAAAAAAAAAGCCTAGAATGATCATTATGGAGTTAATATATATACTAAAATTGAAAGAATGGAAATTAACCTTCTGCTTGACTGTAATTATAGTCCAATCTTCTCCTAATCCTCTGATACCAAGATCTCTACTCAGCAGACTCAAGAATCATGACCATGTGTCATTATTAGACTTAATGTGCACCAACCCTTTGTCCAACTCCATACTTGGAATTCTATAGTAGAACCCCCCTTAATGGGGATATCCCAAGGTTAAAGCAAAATCATCCAACTCTAACATTGACATCGGTCACAATCATGATCATAATTCACAACACCTCCTATACACTTTCACTGGTTCATCCTCGAGTTCATCACCGGGATGAAGTTCTATGGAGAATAGTCTGGAGTTCGTGTCTGCAAACATCGACATATATCATATTAAAATAGGGTCTATTGTGTTCTCAACATGGGGACAAGAACAAAAAACAACACAATTTGGTGCCCCAAAAAAAATACAAAGCATTTGACATGAGGGACCACAAAAAGCATAAAATACAAGCACACCTTTTTTTAATGAAACAAATCAAAATTTTTTATAATAATAGTAAAGGTATTCTATTCCAAAGATTAGGGAACAAATGCAAAATGAACAAAAATAAGCCTAAATTCTTAACATTAGGCTGTATAGAAGAAAGGAGACATCAACACTTCAAAAAATTGGACAACAAAAAATCAATTTCACTTCATTGTCCCATAACTCAACACCCCTTCTGAAAGAATCATACTAAAAAAACATACAAAAAATTGGAAATACTGACCATATCTTGGTAAACATTGTGAATCGCGACCTTGTTTTGCGTTGTTGCTCCTATTCGTACTCATTTTCAACGGGTTGAAGATTTGGATCTTTGATCTCTTATAGAATCAGTTGCTACCCACTAACACAACCCCTTTTGCTGTTACCCACGAATCAACTGCTACCCACGAACAAAACCAATTTGCCATTACATCTTAATCGGTTGCTACCCACGAATAGACCCATTTTCCCCCTCAAAATCAGACCCTAAACCCCAACTCACATGTAGAACACGTGATTCAGACTGAAATTTCCAAGCTTGTCCCTTAGACAAGGTCATGTGACCGGCACATGTTGCAATGCCTTCAAAATTTCCAACAGAAGTTAGCAATTGAACCAATTAAACACAAATTGAAAACGATAGGGATTAAATTGCCAAAATTGAAACATCAGGGACCAAATTGACAAAGAAGGCATACTTTGGCGACCAATAGTGTCATAAATCCTGAAAACAATCTAAATGCAATTTTCAGTCTTTTACTTAAACCCAAAACAAATGAAATGAGACTCAAAATTTTACTTAAATTAATGGAGAGTCAAATTTTGAATGGTCAAATTTCACACTTCTTTAAATCCAATAGTTATACTTCACCCTCCTCCATGTATCTCTCTACACTATCTTTATCTTTCTTGTTTTTATTTTCTTTTTAAACTCATTGATAAATTTAAAGAAATGTCTTTGCTATGATATTTGCACATTTAAATCTATACAATCAAGTATCATGTATTTTGTTTTAACTTAGAAAAAACATAAAGAAATGACATAACAACAAATGGATTATTTTTGAGAGTGAAGGGATAAATTAAAATGAAAAGATATTTTGGAGGGAAAGAAGTAGAAAAAAAAGAAGAAAAAAGTTTTTGATGAAAAAGTTATGATTTAGGAGAATATAGGGATTTCTTAAAAAAAATTGAGTTTGTGCATTAGAGGGAAGGAAAAATTGAGGGAGAAAGATATTTTGGAGGGAAAGAAGTAGAGAAAAAATAAAAGGAAAAATTTTTTGGAGGAAAAAATAAAAAAAGAGCTCTTGGTATAAATATGAATTTTTTAAAAAGATTTAAGTGTAAAAACGGGTTTAACCATTTAAGATATCCATATCAAATCAAGTTTTTTATTCAAATTACTCAAATTTGAGTGTAAGTGTTTGAGTAGCTGTTGGAGATGGTGGCCTTACTAGTACCAAAAAGTTCTTCAGAATTTTTGACCTTCTTGGCATACTACACTGCTTGTTAATTATAGGATTATTCTTTTTCAGTTGTTGTGCTCCTCTCACGTCATTATTTGATGCATTTGTTTCCTTTTTTCAGTTCTTTTATTATTTAGTAAGTTCTTGACAATCTCAAATTGTATGGTTTGTATGTGTTCATTGGTTAGTGGGCTATTTTTCATACCTTTATTTCTAGGACTTGACGAACCACCAGAGTCAAAGTTCCAGGCTTTATTTGCTGTGATTTATATGGTCTTTCGAGTTGAGGTTCCAAATATACGTCTAGTTTTTTCGTATACAAATAAAGCCAAAAATAAAATTTGAAATAACCAATGAGGCAAGTGATATGAGTTGAATACATGGTTTGTAATTTTAGTTATATGAGTAACATAATGAAAGGGTTTCATTTGCATGGGACATTCAAGGGATCCCTTACCACAACATAAGAAGCATTGATACCTTTTCAAAAAAGTTAGACTCGAAAACGTTGGGAATACTATACAAATAATTGTGTTTTATATAGAATTATCTATTGATCGCAAATATAAAAATAATTATAGTACGATTCAGAAGATATTCAATACTTTATGGCAAGTAAATCTTAAAACTAGTCAACTAATGTGAATTTTTAGACTAAACCATCATAGTGGTCAATGATCATTGATATTTTTATGGACAATGTGTATCAAACATGCAATAATTATGATAATTTCTTTCATCTTCTCAATTCCTTTGCTTTAGAGAAACTTTTATGCATCTTTTTCTTACGTTAGTAAATTTTAAGTACAACTTCAAATGTCTAATTTTACCCACTATATATATTTTTTCCCATGTATATTATAGTCAATTGGCAAGTTTTTAAGCTTTTTGAATTACCTGTCAACACATTTATATTTTAGTAGTAGACACGGCCTAATGATATGTTGGACACATGTCTGAAACTAGAATTTTACATCACCTTCTTAAGAGTGTCCGTGCTTTTTAGACTACGACTATAAATGATTAATATTACCATTTAGTTTCCAGAATTAAAGCTTTATATTTCCTCCCAATTTTTTACAACTTTAGCTTTTAACTTCCTTCACAAGCACTCGTTCGTATTATAGTAAAGTCAGTGTCTTTACCCTTGGTCAAAGTCATATATTATTCTCCTGCTGCAGTGGAGGTGCACTTACAGTGGGTCTACCCCCAGCTTGGGTGGACATATCTGAAGAAATAGCAGCAAATGTGCAACGTGTGCGGGCAAAAATGGCTGAGCTAGCTAAGGCTCATGCCAAGGCTTTAATGCCCTCATTTGGAGATGGCAAAGAAGATCAACACAGGATTGAGACTGTTACGCAAGAGATAACTGATCTGCTGAAGAGATCAGAGAAGAGATTACAGAGACTTTCTGCTGCTGGGCCTTTTGAGGATTCAAATGTTAGGAAAAATGTGCAGGTATGAATTTATGGTCATTATACTTTCTGCTGTGTGAGTTGTCGCCCATTAGTGCATGACTGGTTTTGTCCAAGCAGATTGCCACTATTTTGTTTCAAACTGTTGAGAAAAAAATACTGCCGTGGTTCTTTGTACAATCATATAATAGTCTCCTATGTTCTCAGTGTGTATGAGTTTGTGAGTGGTTGAGACTGAAAGATTGGTTTGTGTGCCACCTAAATTCTTGTTATGTGATTTTGTCCTAAGGATTTTGTGCTGTACTAGGGGTATAAATACCTTGGGCTATGTCATCTGCATTTTTTCGAAGATGTATAAACCAAAATAAAATATAGAAGTTTGAATAGAGGAGAAAGAGAATCCATTCGAGAAAAAAAAGAGGGGTGGGTTAGGAACCTCAAATAGTTCAATCAAGGAATTAAATTTTGTTTCGAAATAGTCGAAATGATCGAAACATTTCAGTTTCCATAGAAATTGAAACGAATTATTGATTGAATTCTTATATATCAAGATATTTTGGTGTGTTTTAACCAATGTTTGGGAAACAAATTTTCAAANATCAAAATTCTTATATATCAAGATATTTTGGTGTGTTTTAACCAATGTTTGGGAAACAAATTTTCAAATTTTTTTTTTGTTTCCATCTTGTTTCCAAAATGTTTTCGAAACGTTTCCGTTTTCAAGCTGAACATAACTATTCACTGAAATAAAATTTTGATCATTGAGTTCAATTCAAGGAGAACCCGACCTCCTAAACCTTCTCCAGAAGTTGTACCAAATACAACATCCCTTTTATTGATAGAATGGTCTTTGAAAACAAAATGATAACCAACATACCCCACTATTCCACTACCTAGATAACTACCCATTAACACCACTAACACATTAACTAAATAACTTCTTTATAACTAAATCTGAAATTATATATGCAAACATAATAAAAAATGGGCACGGAACGTTGCATTCCTCTTTTAGAAACTTTGTCCACTAAAGGAGCTCCCTTTTGCGTTTTTTTGTGCACCGCAAATGTGGGTACATCAAAATACTTTGTGCACAAGAGGCTCACAACTAGAGGCATGAAGCTTGGAGGAAGAAGAGAGTGTATCAGCTTGGCCATCAGCCCCCAAGGACCAAGGTCTCAAGAAGCAAGATAGTTAGGCGGTTCCACTTGGGAGAAAGCAATGTGAAATGAAGAGCTCTCATATTCGACATTGTAATTTACTCTTGGGGTAACTACACCTTAGCAAAGCCAAAACCCAAGATTGTAGTGTCAAAACATATTCATAATAAGTTGGACTCTTTTGTTCCGTCTTTCGTTTTGATATGGGATTGTTTCATCCAATACTTTTATATAGCTGCCTCTCTGAAGTTTTCTTTAATTGTATCAACATGGGATTTTTTGCCGATAGTTTACCCTCTTGGGTTTCTCACTGCATAATAATTTAAGAACAATTCTTGGTCATTATTCACTGACCATGATACCTAATGCATTAGCATTCCAAAAAATACAATATTTAAGGGTCAAATTACATCTTTGAACATTAAGTTATATCTCAAATAGTTATGATCAATCAAAAAATATTATGATTGATCAAAAACATTTAAGGGACAATGTACAACTTTTGAGGATTAAGTTACAACTCAAAAAATTATAATCGACGATCACGGAAAATAAAAATTTTTAGAGGTTAAGTTACACCTTTAAAAGGTTATTTGTGGTCGATCACAAAATTCTAGAATCAATCATGACATTTGTGATCTATCACGAATAACCTCAATTAGTTATAACTTACCTGTAGAAATTGTGACTTGACACTCTGAGGTTTTAATTTTCAGTAAGGTATTGAATATTTTTATTTTGGTACTGTAGAGTTGCTGATGTATTATATAGGAATGTATATATGAACTCAATTTGTTCATGAATCTAACGAGCTATAGAAAATATTGTTCAAGCTCGACTTGTTTATTAAACGAGCTCTATTAACAAACTTGAATGAGTTCCAATACGAGTTGTTCATGAACAACTAGGTTCATTTGCAGTCCTATATATCCGTATCAAGAATCATAACTAAGAAGATTAACCGTTACTTGTATATAATCCAATACATATAGATATGAAATCGTACATACATAAAGGAACCCATAAGGAGCATTTCAAAGAAAAGCAACCACAAATGGAGCAATATTGCTGTCAAAAAAATGGGGCATATCAAAGAAAAGCAACAATTAACAATTAGGATAAGATTCTATAATCAATCAAATCATATCTTGGGTAAGACAAATAGAGAAAAAAGTGAGAAAGATCGTGTTCGAATTTTGATAATGATGGAGCCATAAATGGTAGATTAAAGTCGAAGATGGTGGATCTGGGCTAAAGAGGGAGAGAAAGAGGTTGGGGAGGGGAAACTCTTGAACTGGAAGAGTTTTTTAAACCTATTGTGGAGATATTTTTAATCTATTGTGTATAATCGGTTGGTTTTAATCTATGGTATAGATGAAAGTTCTTAAAGAGTAGAAGAGTCTAGAAAAAGACTCTTTAATGGATTTTTTTTTAAAACCTATGGTGAAGACATTTTTAATTGTTTCTATGGTTTAGGATGTTTTGATTTTAATTTACAGTGTAGATGAAAGTTGTTATTGTATATACACTAGCTAATGCATGTGCCTGAAGGTATTGTATAACATAAAAAAATGTTAATAAGAAAAAAATGAGAAAAATCGGTAATCATTCTAGGCTCACTATTGTTTAAGAAAGATTTGGCAGTTATACCTAAATAAGAATACAAAAAATATCAACATGTGCACACAATTTACATGCATAGTAAAAAAACATCAAAACAAATGTTGAAGCTCCATGCAATGTGTCATTTTCTTTGCTACAATTTATATTAATAAAAAAATTGAACCTTAACTCAATAATAACGCAAAGACCTTCTAATGGCATGCCACAGTCATAAAACACTGCATACGGTGTCAACTACAGAGATGAACACCACAAATCGGAGTTCCACTTCATTCTAAAATACCAACATCATTAATATAACTACAACATATCACGGTCATAAAACCCA